AGCGGGGAATCGAAACCACGCCACTTGAATCCATGACATGTCATAGTCATAGGTCTAATAAACGTATTAATATCCGGTAATTTAAATTGTAGATCTTTTTTAGTAATTGCGCTTCGATGTAAACCAACTCATTCCTTACATTCTTTATCGCATGCTATCTAGTATTTTCGTAATTTTAGAATTACATGTAGTTGTGATTTTTAAAGGATCAAATTTTAAATCGTAAGCTTTACCTATTAAGTCTGTAGTTGCACATGTTCTTTTTATATTCTATATTTTGTGTATCGAAAAATGTGATTCTATGTAGATCTACAATTACTAATTTTAAACTATTCAGTAATTCAAAATAATTTTAATTTACTCTGTCATTATCTAGAACTAGTATGCTGTATGGTTAACTTCAGTTTTCATGGCAGATAATTCCATAAGTACACAGTATAAACTAAATTTTCTATTTCTAAATAATCAGTTGACAAAAAAAAATCACAAAAATAAAAGTAACTCTGAGCACAGATCAGACCTAATGTCATATTTATAGCTGTTCGTAAAAAACAGTGATGTTTTAGTTAAATTATAATCATTGTCAAAATAGTCATCAAATTCTAGCTGTTTATTGACCTATGGTCGGTTGACCAAAAATAGGTAATGTTGCCTGTCTTGTTTGTGGGAAATATAGAGTTTTATTCCTTATATGGCGTGGAAATTCACGTCAAGGTTATTGAAGACCTGGGAAAGTAGGGGGTATAAATTAGGGTGTAGAGGAGAGCTAGATTAGAGCTCACCCAGAAATTCTTACCAGTCATTATCATTGAGAACGAGGAACCTGCATAGCTATTTCCAGTTTACTAATAAAGCTGTGAAATCATTGTTGCTGTAGTATTATTTACGATCACAAAGAACACAACAAATAAAGAAGTCCGGTAGTACTACACAAGCACAATGACATTTAGTAAACTTGGGTTTAATATATAAGAGTTCATGATGAAGCCATTTACAAAAATTAAATAATAATAACAATAAGAAGTAAAATATAATAGACCCACTGTCCAACCAAAGGATACTATTGACTAATAATGAATGCCTTACAAGGGAGCCATTGGTTGAAACATCATTTTGTCAGAAAGTTTTAAGCTAGCAATGAAATAGAAAAAACAAAAAACATGGCCATCAGACGTAAAAATATCAAAACGAAATATTTTTCATCACAATTCGTTTTTTTTTTTCAATACCCAAAATCACGTTGAACTGGATTCCAACGGAACTCTTTGTGCATACCTGGAAGCTCACCATCACCGGGGCCCCACAACACGAAGGCCTGGACAAGTGACTTATAGTTTTTAATTCACCATTTCGACTTAAAAAGTGAACAGAAAGAACACGATCCACGTCAATAGGTACCTACATTGAGACACAAATTATACCGGTTTATTTTATAAGATTATACCAACATTTTTATTAAACATTACTCAGCATAGCTCCGGTGCTCACTAGGCTCCGGGCCCCTGGACAAGTGTCCCAGTGATCCTCCTCTCTCACGGACTCCGGGCCCCTTAACATGTGTCCCAGTTATCTCCCCTTCCCGCGGGCCCTGTACCAACATGAATGATTGAAATATGTGTATATTATAGGGACCATGTTGTACCACATAGAGAAATAAGGCGTCCTAAAAACGCTATCTTTACAATAAAATGTTGTATAAATACATGTTTGATGTGCATTGTGTTTTTTGTTTCATCCGATTAACTAGACAAACTTGATTGTTAAATATAATGCACAATTACAAAATGAGGGGGTGGGTGATTGGCCGAACAGTTAGCGCGTGTGCGTTGTATCATAAGGTCTGTCATTGAGTCAACCGGCGTGGTTTCGATTCCCCGGTTGTACGTGACAAGCAGTAGGGTCGCCAGTTTGACCTCGTGGGATTGTTTCTTGGTCCCCGGTTTCCCCCACTGCTAAAGACCCCTACGTACAAGCGAATTATTGAAATAAAATTGAACCATATGTAAGTCCCAAAATTAAACGGTTTGTGTTGAGTAGACGTTAAATCCCATTTCTCTCTGTCTCTCTCTCTCTCTCAATTACAAAATAGTTAGACTTATGGCCTGCCTAATGATCAGTTCACCTGTCAGAATATGCGGTTTATGGCCGTGTGTATTTCTCGTTGTTTGTTATCTGCACCTGTGCATGTTAAAGGTCAACTGAACAGTGATTATCAGTAAAATTGAAGTCGGTCTATTCCCCAAAAATTGAAAATGACTGTGTAGGTGTTTTGAATAAAGATTAATGTATTTTGATACTGAGTGGAAATGCATCAAACTGGCTATAGAATTGTAAGTCTTTCATATATTCAATAATATGTTAATATCCGTAACCTTTACACACTATGTTTCCGTTGTATTATTTGATGTTGTTTATGAATCGTAACCAACAATATTCATCATTATACAACACGCATGTTACATGACAAATGTTTCGATACGGAAAGTGAAACACGAGATCATTTTCCTCATTTGAACAGTAAATTACGTAAAGGAGAATTGATAACGAAAAACAATTAGCCGTATTATACTGGTTAAAACAGTTAGCTGTAATATACTAGTTAAAACAATTAGCTATAATATACTGGTTAAAACAATTAGCCATGATATATTGGTTAAAACAATTAGCTGTGAGATACTGGTTAAACCAATTAGCCATAATATACGGGTTAAAACAATTAGTCGTAATATACTGGTTAAACCAATTAGCCATGATATACTGGTTAAAACAATTAGCTATAATATATTGGTTAAAACAATTAGCTATACTATACTTGAATGAAATGAATGGGTTTGAACGTTCTACTAAAGTAAAATGTATTTAAGGCTGTAAACATGTTCATCAAAATTACTTGGAGCGAATTTCCTCAGGGGATTCGAGATAATTTTTATTCCTACCGGCGTCCAATAACTGTTTATGAGTGATTCATGATTCAAATGATTTATAAATACATGTAACCATTCAATAAACTTTTACAAATAATTTATAAATACACGCAACTATTCAATAAGTCTTTACAAGTGATTGTTTGGTATAAAAGGTTGGACAGTAAGAAAAAAAACAATAAACTGATCATATACAGTCCATAGTAACAAACAAACAACTGATATTTATTACAGACGTCTATTAATCACCAATGTTAACAACAATTTATACCTCTCTCTCTCTCCCTCTCTCTCTCTCATAGAGATCAGAGGGAGATGAAAGAAGTGTTGGGGGATGCGAGAGAGAGAGAGCGAGCGAGAGAGTGTGTTTAACCCCAACTCGACACAAACTAGGTCATTTTGGGAGTAACATATGGTTCGAAAACCCACTATGTTGGGGTTGGAGAGGCGACCCAACTCCTTGTCACGTATATGCTAGCAATTGAGGTTACGAAATAACGCGTACTCGTATTACCATTCGGCTACCACCGTTGGAGCTGACGTGCCATAAAACTCCATTTCATTCATTCTTTTGTTGAAAGTTGTTGAATATTGAATTGGGTTAAATCAGGGGCTAACTGAGAGCGACACAATGATGAGCTTTGTGTCATGGTTTTGAACTTTTGCGTCCCTCTAAAATTGTTAAGAAAGTACGCGGTTTCAACATATAATCATAATGATAATGCTTAACCAGTGTCAAACATATACCATGGATCAGATATGATACAAAATCGACTCTAGTATGATCCAAACATCCGGATATTACTCGGCGGCACTGGGAGGGTCCGCCCCACCCACCCCCTCACTCACATATAAATATTGTTTTTGGGGTACGGACGGGATCATGTTCCTCATGGGTGACCACTCCCCTGAGTTAAATCTTGGGTGACCACTCCCCTGAGTTAAATCATGGGTCATCACTCCCCTGAGTTAAATCCTTTATACATGTATATATGTGATACTGATGTTTAAACGTGACAAGAGGTAATCTTTAAGGGGCATTTAGTAACTGGAGAGAGCAATAAACTATAACACATACTTATGGAACCAGCGGCTGCCAGGCAGGATACGCCCACATTTTGCAAGAGATGGAAAGAGAAAAAGCTAAAAACAAACGGGATTTTTTGTACAATCAGGGGCAATAATCCATAAAGTTATGGTCTGAAATGCGCAAATATCAAAAGGGACTGAGATCTTGGGATATAAAGATATTATTTAAGTTTCATCAGAATCGGACAAAAATTGTGACCTCTAGAGGGTTGACAACCTTCGTATTGCATACTTTTACACAATTTCCGTACATAGAGCGGCCATTTTGTTGGGCAGTTTCATTTCGATTTTCCTGAAATTCGAATTCAACCTTGATTATGGTGGAATGGTGAAATATTTAAACCTCTAGAGAATCCGCAAGCTAAAAATGCCATTTTTCGAACAAGCAGGGGCCATAACCCAAGAAGTTTAGTTCGGGTAACCGCGTTTATGAAAATGTGGGCGTATAAAAACAGCTACTTATTTATAGTTTTTCTGTTATAGTTTTTCTGTATAAATTAGCCTCATTAATTCTATAACGTTGAGAGAATGGGCCAACTCTTCGAAACGTCGCCCAAATAAAGAAGTAGCTGTTTTTACATCAGTATGTGTTATAGTTTAGTGAAAATAGGTGTACGAAATTTACCTCGCCAAGCAACTTGTTGAGTATTTTATATAAATATTATGGGCAGGTAGAATTTTGCTCTTATTATATGATTGTTAGTTTGTCTTTAAAGAAGTGACAAGGGTATTATTGTAATTGTCTATAAAATGTATTTTAAATAACACGTCATATACATATACGTTATATATTATTGCACTCGTCTATTCAGTTAGCTTTTTCTATGTCTGTTCAGTTAGCTCGCTATAGTAGTGAATACATACCCTAAAATAAAATGCATTATACTAAAGTTAAATTTATGGGGAACGAATCTATGGAAAGTTCGATCCTTTAGTAACGCAATGATCAATTGATGTCATGTGATATAATATTATGTTTATTAGCAACGAGTTTATTTGACAAGTCTTTATTCAAGCTAGCCGTGTCTATAATTCTACCAGACCTGAAACTAAGCATTTATTCAAGCCAGCGGTTGACTATTTCAGTGTTTACAATTCTACCAGACCTAACCCGTGTTGTATTCATGTGTAAGTTTTAATTTATTTTAAATATTTGATATTAATAATATTTAGCTTGATAACGTTGAGAGAATACTCTACGAAACGTCGCCTTAAATACACTAGTAGCTGTTTTCCATAAGTATGTGTTTTGTTGTTAATAATAGGAACATTTAAAATTTATCTTTAGGTGGTCTTAGGACCGAACTTTTACTTTGGAACGTCAGAAAAGATCTTGCATAACAGAACCAAAACACTTCAAAACCTGTTTCAAAAATACGTAAAAACTATCAAATCAAAATCTCTCCGATTTAGTTTCGCAACCGGTTGTCCGAAAAAACAATTGAATACTTTACCTGTCGACTAAATTTAGCAATTTTTATATTGTCAGGAAATATTTCCACTCGACCACACCCTCTTCCATTATGTATTTAATGAATTCTATATTTCAACTCGGATATAACCTGACAGTACATTGTCATGGAAACGTCGATTATTGTTGTATGTTGCCCTGGTGATGTTCACGTAGTACGTAATATTACACCATTTAGTTTTATTGCCCTTTAGGATCGGTGACACAATATTATATCACCCATTCTACAGTAGATATCGGTGAAACAATATTTTATCACCCATTTTACAGTAGATATCGGTGAAACAATATTTTATCACCCATTTTACAGTAGATATCGGTGAAACAATATTTTATCACCCATTTTACAGTAGATATCGCGTGTGTGATATATTTCATAATCTACTGCGATATCTCCTTAGGAGTTTACATGAATTTGATTGGTCAGTTGAAAAGGACCTCCTTTTTTTATTTTCAAAGAACAGTTCATTTCTTATTAAAAGTAACTTTTGTTTTTAATTAAATCGAACTACATCACAGTTAGCGCAGGCAAATAGTCAGAACGGCCGAATGTCCTATTCTATAAATAAATTTATTACTAATCACACTGACGTTAAGAGATTAATTTTGACCATATGTAACCTGTTTCCATATAAAACTGTTGTTTTTGATAAACATACGATTAGGCTGCTGTAAATAAGTACATAACGTAAAGTCCAAGTGAAGTCCTAAAGTAGAGAGTTTACAAGATTATCTACGCCAGAGAAAACCTAGACGAGCAATTAAAAAAACAATAGATGTGTAACAGGGAATGTGTCACACGTCGGACGCGGTAAGCTGCCGGCTCCACTTTTCATATTTCATATCGTTTATATCAAACACAGATATACTACCCCACAGTGTTCTTGTTAAATACGTTTTATATCAAACACAGATGTATTGAACTAATAAGAGTTTACATCTTTCACCCTTTCTCCTAGCTGTCAGCTCGCCCAAGCCAGTATGGCTAACTTCTGAAAATACTACATCGTGTCTTCCTAAGAATTCCAATATTTCACTTATTATGTTCATTTATACACCTGAAATTAATAGGTTGAATATGCCCAAATATGTAAAGCTTAGTTCCAATGGGGACTATATATAAACATGAAATGAACACTGCCTCTAATATATTAATGATTCGACAACTGGCCTTGACAGATGCGTCTAATTGTGAAATAAGAATCATAATTTAAAGATATATTCCCGCGTACAAACTGGGTGATTTGATGATATATTTGTACTAAAAACATATTCAAACTAATTAATTTATCATAATTGTGCTTCAAACCCTTTCAAAACATTGTAATTGCCAAGGAATACCCTGCAATAAAAAAATCGACCAAAATAGGTCATGTTTGTGTCACGTGACTTACCTCTCTCGTTACCTATAGCAACGGGGGCGAAGTCGTCGGAGAATTCATTGTATACACAAGACAATGTTGTCTTTAATCGCTGACTATTTATTACAAATATCGAATCCTAATTTAATTCTCGCATTATCCACTGCCCGCGTATTCTTCCGTGATTTTTATCTCAGAAAGTGTTGTACGTCTAACTCTTCATAAAGTTTATCAACATGTACACCAAGCGCTCAATCTTCGCGTGCAGGTTTTCCTAATCATCGTGCTGTCGATTAGGGGAACCCTTACATTTTTGTCCTGTATACGCTCCATGAGTGTTTTTCAAGGAATCCAGTATTTTTCTAGTAAGATTGGATATCTCTACTTTACATATATACCAAAATTGCCATACTTTTATTGGAAATAACCACCCGATAAATACTTTTCTGTGAACCTATCTTTAAAAACAAATTAATTAGGCTTTATAAACACATGTAGCCTATCAGGTAGCAGCTGTACAAGTCAACATTATACCTATATATTAAACACAATCAAATTATGTGAAGATAATTATATAAGATAACTTGGATAACTTCATATCTGTCAACAATTATGGCAATAGATTAATGAAAAGCTTATTCATAATATCTTGACAAACATAACATAACATCCAAATTTATATAGCGCCATGAATACTCGTATTAGGAGTTCTAGAGAGAGAGAGAGGGAAATGGGGTTTAACGTCCACTCGACACAAACTAGGTCATTTCGGGACTAACATATGGTTTAATTTTATTTCAATAATTCGCTTGCGCGTAGGGGTCTTTAGCAGTAGGAGGAAACCGGAGGACCCGGAGAAAACCCATGAGGTTGGACAGGCGACCCTACTCCTTGTCACGTACAACCGGGGATTCGAAACCACGCCAGTTGACGCATTGACAGGCCTTATTATACAGCGCGCACGTGCTAACCATTCTGCCATCCATCCCCCCTTAGGAGTATGGTGGCCCATGGTTATCATAATAAATGTGTAAAAAATCCACCACAAATATTAAAAACTGTAAAAATAAATTTTAATGAAAATAAAAATTCGCTAAAAAATAACAAAATAGAAATCGAAAATAAAAACTAAATTAAATTAAATGAAATAAAAAAATAATTTAAATTAAATTAGATTTAAATTAAAATCATTTTTGATAAAAACAAAGTAAAATAAATGTAAATCAAAAACTGAAATGAAAAAAAAAATTAAAATAAAAATATTTTTAAAAAAAAAGTAAGTTTGAAAACTTAAATGAAAAAAAAAAATTAAAAGTTTTTTTTTTAAATCGAAAAGTGAAATGAAAACTAAAATACATACAAATTTTGCGCAATGGGTGATTAATCTCCGTCTTTAAAACCAGATCGTTGTTTAAATTGAATCTAAAAGTATTTGCTATGGCCAACTCAATTTTCCATTGTGATTTAATTTTAGTTTTGACGATGCTATTAAATTCCTGAACGCTATATTTTAAGTTTTCGGTCTGGTAGAGGCTGAGTCCTTTGCGAGCCAGATTGTCTGCGGACTCATTGCCTGGGATGGTATCCATGTAAATTCTACGGTTTTATTTTTGTTTCGGAGGGAATAAACACTTGCTCGAATCTAACTATCTTTGTGTATTGATAATAATATGGCAAGTGTTGTGTCGTTAATTTCTGTCATTAATTAATCAATCCGACTATAAAAGTTATACAGACTTGGGGTCATAAATTAATTTACATCTCGGTGTTAGCAGTGAGTGTTAGTGGGATTAAGAATGCTGATTAGGTAATAATCTTTTTTTTTTTTTACGCCGACCAGATCAAAGACATCACTCTAGGTGGAACGTGTGCGTAATACCTCATGCACGAACTAATGGTAGAATCGCACACACACACACACCCACACACACACATTAATTGTATAAAATAATTAAGTTTTACTCATCAGTTGTTTATAATTATTATTTACCCAATAATTATTGCTCACCGGTGTTTTTGTAATCAAGTAGCCTCGTATTATTTAGATGATTGGCGTTTAAACAACATTTAATTGACTTGTATGAAATCTGAATATAATTTATTCGATGGATAAACGTTTGTGATACGATGAGGTTATAATGTCTAACACCGTTTATCTTCTATATAATAAAAGTATTTTACAATTGCATTGACACTTTAATCACTCACCAAACGGCATCAGGAACTCCACGTATGATCAGGTGTAATTTGACATTCATGTCCATGAATCCCGTGCAATTTTCGCACCACAGTTTAACCTCTTTTAATACACCCGTAGTACATGGAACCGTACATGGTAATAAGATTCCCATTTTTGATTGGCTGAGAAATGAGGGCGATCTAATCATTGGAAAATTCCATATTCGCTGTAAATTTCAAATGGAGTTAGGATAAAAGTTGTTCTTTATGTATAGAAATGGTTATTGTTATTATATATAGATCATGAATATATCGACAAATGACTGGCACCATTTGTATTTCTGTACTTAAGTTTGGGATATTAAGTATTAGGGGTTTATCCAAATTACCGGTAAATGCGCTAATTTCTTGAGTATTCTTCATTTGACACGTGGCCTATTTAAATAAAGGCAGCTTAAAGGGGTCTACGTCATTTTAAATTCACTCTAAAATATCCCAATCACAAATGTCTAATCTATAACAATGTTAGACGATAATTCGGTGATTATGATTAGGTCAGTCACGTAGTAATTGGACCTTCAATAAACGCTTGTCAACTGGTGGTGTGTATTTTATAGTGCTATATTGTACAGACAGTGAGATATTGTACAGATAATATATATCCTATGTGTAGTGCCTGTGACGTCATTAGCCCAATCAACCGGAATAAGGTCGTAATCGAAAAATTGAAAAGCGTTTTGGCGTGTCGGATACTTAAACGTTAACAGCCGACTTAATTTTAATTGTCTGCGATATCACCTCGGTGGAAGCGGACGTAAAATACAACTAACTCATCATCAACTTAATTTTAAGTCTGCGATATCACCTCGGTGGAAGCGGACGTAAAATACAACTAACTAACAACAACAACTTAATTTTAATCAGATTGGTGTGAACTTGCCGTAAAGTTGATATAGTAACCATGGGCTATACGTACATGAAATTTAGATTTTTGATCTCACGTGGTCTCTGAGAAGATATGACCAACGTTGTGTTAAAGGAGCTAAATCGCTAATATTTTGGACCTAGGAATAGGCACAGATGGGTGGCAACACATATAATAATGTAATAGGAATTTA